AGGACCAAAGATTCAGATTGCTCTCACATCACATGCTTGTTCTTCCTTGGAGCTGCTCTACTAACAATGGCCTCCTTGTGTCTGAATGTGTGCGTCCGTTTAACCAGAAAAGGAGTAGTAGCACAGCTACAATGATTTGGACTGTCACTGTTTCACAGACAAAACAATCATTCAAATGGATCCTATCAAAAAAGAACACAATTATCAACAATGTTGTCCTAATTTTTATTTGCAAACTGCACATTTAGCAAAAAGGTAAAATTTATTAATGACATTTTGTATCACTATCTCCCACATAAAGGCACAATTTGACAAGATGTGCCGTTTACAGAAATAGTTTCCATGACAAAGTGAAGAAACACCAACTCTGCAGAATAAACTGATTCTACAAGTTTCATTTTTAAAAAGCTAAAAAAAAGTAACACTGGTTTAATGTTCATTTAATCATCTCAGCACTGGCAATAAAAATCAGTGTGGTGAAGGAATAATTAAACACAATAAAGACGTTTTTACATACTTTCTGAATGCCTAATTTGATTACAGTACATAACCAGATACATACATCTAATGAAATTTAAAAAAATGTGTGTATTGAAAACTGTGTGCACCTTAGAAGTATCACACTTTAAAGCTCCACAATGTACACAAGGAAAACAAAACATTTTGTAAAATAATTTTTGGTTCTTAAACTTAGTTCATGTAAACTTATCATGGTGAAAGTTGGTGTATTTTCACTAAGTAATTATGAATTTAAAGTCCGCTCTCTGTTTTTTGACATCATGTTGAAAAAAGATGAAATTAGAGCCGTTTTGTTCAAATTGTTAAAATAGTTCTGTGCAAATTGTGATATCCTACGTTGCTCGGGGTATGTTTTGGGAGGAACTCTGCTAAACTTTTAGCTCAGTATCTGTAAGAATAAGATTAAGCCATTTTTTGTTTTTCTATTACCCGTGATAACCATCTTGAGTTGGGTTGACTCTAAAAGGTAAGCAGATGTAATCTGTTACTTTCACTAACATCTGTTCAGTGATTCATCAGATATTTTGCTAACAGTTAAACAAACCTGTTTCCAACAATTAATGCCTGATATTTAAATGAAGCTATGTGATCAGTTATCTACAACTAACCATGTCAGTCAAGAACTTTTTGTGCAGGAGGCTAATGGCTCAGAGGGTTGGAGTCATTATCCAACATTAAAATTAAATATGTTCTGTGCAGTGAAAATGTTGAAGGCACTCTTTAATGATGAACAAGCCTTACCAGCATGTTATGAAGTCATCATCACTTGCAGCTGTCAATCCATTTTGAAGGAGAATGTGACACAAATACAGTAAAACAATGTAATGATTTGCTGCAGAACGTTATTTCAGATGAACGTGTTGTGCTCAGTACATTTTAACACCAGCTGATGTTCTGCAGTCCTGTAGGAAACTCCAACCTTACACGTCTCAGGACTTTTGTAAACATCCCTTCAGCATATAAATCTAGTGTTTGTCTACTTTTTATTGTCGTTTTCTCTACTCAGGTGGTTAACTTTCTTTATAATGTTCAATCTAAATGTTACTTCTACTTCTTTATACATTAGAACTGTGAGCCCAGTTGTTGGTTCTGGTAGCTCATATGTCAAACTCTAGGGCTGCAGGCCAAATCTGGCCCTTGTAAACATTAATTTACCCTTTAAATAATATTTTATATGTAGCTGTCTGAGTAAATTTAAATAAAATGAGATTCAAATCTTAAGTAGCTCTTGGATAGGGGAGCGGTGGCGCAGAGGTTAGATGTGGGCCTGCGGTGGAAGCTCGCAGGTTTGTTGTTTTTTTATTTCTGGGGGTGGGGGAGGTATAACCCCAGACGCCACTACTGGTTCAGTTCAAAGCTACTTACTAGGTGTCCCGCAGGGCCATCAGCAAATGTCAGCTGATAATTCTGTTTCAAACCCAACATAATGTTCAGTTTTAATAGGACAGCCTGGTTGTTACAGATAAAAGATGGACGTGGGATCAGTCCACACAGGACTTTTCATCTCAGCTGCAGGAACGTCAGCTAACGCTGTTTATTGATCAGCAAAGCACAACATTTCTGCAACAGAGAAAAAGTTTCTGTCTGTGTTACATTTTCTCTTTTCTTTTCCTCCCATCATGAGCACCAGAGCTTTGCTCGTTTACACATTAGCATTATTGCCCGATCCCTGGTGTGACATCAGCAGCCATCGGTAAACACTGGCCATGTACTCGGGTTTTTCCTTCACTGGTTTGTTTGAATACTTTTTCTTTTAATACTCATGTGTCTCAAATGCGTAAAAATACACAACTTTAATATTATATGATAGTGATTACTACTCAAGAGCACTTGGTACTATAATGGTGGGTGTTGGACTTTAAATACATCTGCACACATTACTGTTAAAAGTGTATGGTTTCATTCACGCACGTTTAATATGAGGTAGGAAGAGGAGAAAATGTTTTGCAAAAAACTAAATTAACATCCACAAACCCAAAAGAAACAGACAACAAATGTCTTTGCCAACGTTAAGAAATGCAACTTGTAACAACGTCATGTCATATCCTGACGGATGCTCAATAATCCAGGTAGAAAAAAAAAAAAAAAAAACTTAAGTCTGGTCCTCTGGACATTCAAAACAACAAAACAAAAAAAACGTAGAAACGTTTCGTCTTTCATCCGACTCAGACTGAAGAAGTCTTTCGGATGAAAGACGAAACGTTTCTGTTTCTTTTGTTCCGTTTTTTTTTAATGTCCAGAGGACCAGACTTAAGTTTTTTAGAAATGTCATGTCATATTCTTCTTTTGCTCTTCAAAAAGGCAGCAGCAGTTTGGACTGGCTCTAAAAACCAGTAACATGCAGCCAACTGTGTCGGTTTACTCACAAGCACTGAAAACGCTGACCGTGGGAATTTTTTTTTTTTTTTAGTAAATGCAACAGAATATTACGTGCATGTACATTTTTTAAGACTAATTTAAATTTGTTACTGGCCAGTTTATCTTAGTTAAGCTTCATCAAGTAATTAACCTACAAATGTTTTTTATCAGTTCCTGAAACGTTAAAATAACTTTCCATATAGATAACCAACTGGTTAAGGTTAAAATAAAAAACTGATGATTTTAATTGTATGAGATGTGATACCATCCTACATCTTCGCCTTCAGAGGGGTGATTTGGAGCGACTGCAGGAACGTGTCCAGGGTGCTCAGATACTCCTGTGGGTGTCTCTTTAGGTGTCCTGCGTGGGTTGAAACCTCCCACTTCTTTGCTGTAACGTCCATCCCTCGCTTCCGCCAGTAATCGACCAGCTTCTCTACAGTCGGGGCGTCGCTCAGCAGATCATTGTCACAAAAGAAGAAGAGCGACGGAGCGGTGACTGGAGTGTTCCAAAACACCTCGATGCTCGAGTTAAAGTAGTCCACCGTCTGGCGTTTAAACATGCTGAAGTACAGCAGGCTTATCCGTTTTATCAGCATATCCCAGCGAGGGAGCATCGTTTTACCCAGACCTACATGGAGAGGACAACACGCTTTATTCAACTGCGGGAAAATATTTTATACATACATCATTTCATGTATACAAGTGTCATCGACAGGGGCCTTTCTGGGTGGAGTTTGCATGTTCTCTCCGTGCATGCGTGGGTTTTCTCCGGGTACTCCAGTTTCCTCCCACAGTCCAAAAACATGCATGTTAGGCTGATTGGTAACTCTAAATTGTCCCTAGGTGTGAGTGAGAGAGTGAATGGTTGTTTGTCTCGTTTGTCTCTATGTGTCCCTGTGATGGACTTGCGACCCGTCCAGTGTGTACCCCGCCCCTCGCACAGTGATTGCTGGACATGGGCACCAGCGACCCCCGTGACCCAAAATGGAATAAACGGGTAAAGATAATGGATGGATGGATGGATGGAAGTGTCATCGAACAATACGGATAAATACAACATGGACTACATAAGTAATCGTTAATCAGTTACAGACTCACCTATGGCCATGTGATCCAGTGACCCCACTACCAAGCTGTCATAGACTTGACCTTTGATCCTATTCGTCACAGCCTGGTATTTCTGTTGGTCCTGAGTCAGATGGACGAGCAGCTGAGTGAAGGTGTAGCCACCAATGGAGAAGGCATGAACAAGCAGGGGGCGGGACATGAAGCGTTCGCTCTGGAGCAACTCCAGCAACAACTTCCCTCGATCCAGACCCCAGCGAGGCCACAGAAAATCTTTCACCTTGTTAAAAAAAAAAAAAAAAAAAAAAAAAGGGAAATTGTACAATTTCAATCTTAGAATTCATGAATACAGATTTATTTTGTGTAAAGTTGAATACGCCACTGTATAATTACACTTATAAATAACTTAAACACATAAAAATGAAATCAACCGCCTCTCGTCCACTGTAAGCAAAGAGCAAATCGAGGCAAAATAAAAATGACAGAAGATATTTATCTTGAAATGGCAAAAAATATAAAATCTTTACATATTTTTTTCATCTATCCAGAAATTGTGTTAAACATTTCAATTGAAGAGGGCGGAGCTCTAACTTGACAGCTGCTTCAAAATCCACAAAGTTACACAAAACTATGCACAGAAACACAAGAGTCAGGGTGGCTTCTGGGTAATACCAGATGGCTAGGCCTCAGACTGACGAAGCCTCTTGGACGAGGGGCGAAACGTTTCTTTTTAACAAAAAACGAAGTCCAGATGACATGATTCAACCTTTTTTGTTGTTATATACCTGGATGACTGAGAAAACAAACTTTGTATGCACAGAAATATTCTGCAAGACTAAAGACTTTACTATAAATGAGACTTTTTTTTCTAAATGTCTGTTGTCACAGTAACCCAGTGGTCAGTGCCCCTGTCTCACAATCCTGAAGCTGAGGGTTTGAGCCCATCTTGTGCCAGGAAGGGCATCAGGTGTAAAACAATTACCAAATCTCTTGTGCGAGTTCACTCACTGTGACAAAGGGGGAACAACCGAAAGAAAAACATTAGATAAGGACATTCTGCTCACACTCCTGTTTACATGTAACAGAGCACAGTGTGCTTAACGTCCTATCAAGGACACACATTCTCTCACAGCACCGACGCTGCTTGTGCTTATTTATAGCGCTCAGCTAACACGCAACACAGATGTGCATGTGACCATGGGGAAACACTGAAGAGCTTTATTTATTTGTGTTTTTACTCAAACTCCAATTGTTGAGGACAAAAACATACAACTTAATCTAACAAATCCCTAATCTGTGTACAAATTGGACCTGAGAGCCTTAAAGCCAAAAGAATGTCTCCAGGTCTGAAAAAGCTGAAGATCAAAACCCAGCAGAGAGTTTTGATGACTGGTCATCACCTCATGTCTACACGGTGGTGTCTTCTTCAGAGATGTCCTCATAGGTTAATGCATTGTTGTAGCACAACTGTATACTGGGTTTTTATTTTTATTATTTATAATGAGCAATTATAAATAACACAAATGAGAAATACAATCCAAATAATAGTCCTAGATTACAAATTATCCACAGATGTTTTCCCCAACTAATCTGAAACAGCTTTAACGCCGTGTCACCCCTACGGTCACCTGTGTAAAACGAGACCAAACAATAACTTTAACTTTATCAAGAAAGATAACGTTCTGAGACTTGCTCTAAAGATTCTACACAAGAATACTTGGAACAAATAATCTCTGAAAGTCACCTCCAGGTATCAGATTTGTTGTGAATCCAAGGCCGGGTTAAGCTGTAAACATTATAAACGCTTCCAAGTCAATATTCTGCTCTTGCTCAACTCATTCAGGTTTACAATCTGTTCTTTATTGTGTTTGCACACAGTGAATTCTGATACCTGATCCAGGTTTTTACCTGTATGAGGAGGGTCATCTGAAGAACACAATATATACAAATCACAAATATTTATGCTCTTTTCTCATTTCTAAATAGAACACAAGTGCACTTTACTGGAGCTACAGCCAGGCTGTATTCAACTCAACATGAGAAGTTGTAGGGTCGACTTGCTTCCATAAATGAAATTAGCTGATCAGTGGATTAAATATCCTGATGCATGCTCAATAATCCATTTAAATTAATCTGAAAGCAGTGGATTAAATCATTCGGTTTCTTGATTTGTGCCATTACCTCACTCTCCACAACAAGTATGTCAAAGCCAGTGCGGAAGTAGACTTCAGAGTACTTGGCCACAGCTTGGGGCCGGGATCCCAGCCACGGCAGCATCAACAGAAGAGGTTTGGGATCCTGGCAGGTCTGGCCTCCTGCTCCTGGAGATGTTGATTCATTCCCGTAAAAAGTGACGTTCTTGCACAGGCGATGTGCAGTGACGCCTCTGCTCACGGCCATCCTGGCCAACATGCTGCTGCTTGTCTTCTTCTTCTGCTTCTTCTTCTTCTTCTTCTTCTTCTTCTTCTTCTGTGAGGTTTTACGGCAGCTTACATCCCTCAAGGTGTATTATCGCCATCTAAAGGTACTACTTAGAACTAGTAGTTATAAGTGTTCCGATAAACTTAGATTCTCTTGTATAAACCTGTTGTCCTCAGGAAATACATAAAGTATTTGACTCAGGATAATTCCCATCCACATAACAGTTGAATAAACTGCACAGTTCTGCTTTCTTGTTTCATTTTCTAATTTGCAGCAATTCTGTGTCCACTTGAGGTTCTTTCATTAGCCAAAAAGGAACAGTTGACCAGACGACATTAGGACTAAACACAACTTCAGAAACACCCAATGATCTTGCAGATTCTTCTCCTACCCATCCAAAGCTTAATGTTTGTTTCCTATGCCTTTCCCATGACTCCTTTAATACAGATTTAGTTGGATGACTATCATGGTGTCCTTTAAGATGAATCCAATAATTAACCAGTAACTGTTTCCTTCGCAGACACAAAGGCATCTCCCCTGATTCAACTAAAATTGCACACACTGGTGAAGTTTTGACAGCTCCAATACATAATCTAAGTGCTTTAGCCTAGATGACCTCTAGAGGCTTTAGAGATGATTCAGCTGCGGATTCATAAACTATGCATCCATAGTCTAATCTGGACTTTATCAAGGATATATAAATGTGTTTCAATGATAAGAAATCTGCTCCCCAAGTCACTCCCACCAGACACCTCATAACATTTAAAACCTTCTTACAGTTATCAATAATCCAATCAATATGATGATTCCAAGTCAAATGAATCAAAATAAACACCTAAGAAATGAAAAACATCAACTATCTCTAAATTTCTTCAATACAATTTTAAGTTAAATTCACCTTTATTCCTTTTCCTAGTAAATAGCATTGCTTTGGTCTTATCAACTGAAAACCTAAATCCCCAATTTTTACTCCACAATTCAACTTGATTGATTCCTTCTTGAAGCTTGTGTGTAATGAACTCCAAATTGTGTCCTCTTTTCCATAGTGCTCCATCATCAGCAAATAAAAATCTCCCTATATCTGTGGCTACAGACTTATACACATCATTAATCTTATTGTGAATAAAACAGGACTAATAACACTCTCTTGTGGAGTTCCATTTTCTACTTCAAATTTACTGGCTACTGATGTACATACTTTAACCTGAATAGATCTCCTAGTCAGAAAGTCCATTATCCAATTAAACATTCTACCTTTAATACCCAATAAATGAAGCTTAATCAGCAGCCCATCTTTCCACAACATGTCGTATGCCTTTTCAACATCAAAAAATACAGCAGCCACTGACTCCTTATTTACTTGAGCCTTTCTTACCTCATTTTCTAAACGCAACATTGCATCCATAGTACCTCTTCCTTTTCTAAATCCACTCTGACAATGAGCTATTAGATGGTTCTTTTCCAAGAAATAACTTAATAACATTGACCATGCATTCCATTAGTTTACAGACATGAGATGTTAGAGCAATAGGCCTGTAATTTAATGGGTTACTAGCATCCTTCCCAGGTTTCTTAATAGGAATAACTACAGCTTCCTTCCAGCATTCAGGCCGTCTCCTCCTCCGTCCTCCGCTGCTGTTTTTATGTCCATGCGCTCTGGACGTCACTCACAGCGTGCGTGCAACATAGAGTAAACTCAAGCGAGAGCAACACCTGCCCCCTTTTTCCTCTTTTGCATTGACTAAATGTTTTAGTTTTATCGATAAGTTTGTCAAAGCACAATTTACAGAAGTAATGTTTAATAAATGTTAGGACTCTATTCTTTGCTAACAAAATAAATTCACCTCCTCAGTTAAGCTGCTGTGTTTTGATGATCTGGACGTTTTTCACCCACAGCATGCAGGTGACAAAGTAAACTCAAAGCAAGAGGATTGTATACCTGGATTATTGAGCATGGACTTTGTTGTTTTCAACCAGTTGGACAAGACTGTCAACAAGGAAGAGGGCCGGCAATGGAGGAGGGGGCATACCAAAGAGACCATCTTATCACAAGCAGAACTGGTTTGTTCCACTTTGGAGTAAGCTGTTGGGGGAAGAATCAGTTTTGTTGTGTGTTTTCTTGACTGATGAAGACTTCTGGACCAAAGGCGAAACGTTTCAGCACAAAAAAAAGTAACTGTCCAGATGACCTGACTGAAAAATGTTGGATTGTAGACCTGGATTATTGAGCATGGACTTTGTTGTTGTTCAAATCGAGAGGGTTACCTGCTCCTCTTTCTTCTTTCATGTTGACAATTTTTTTTTGTTTTATCGATGAGTGTGCTCATTGATCCTGATTGATTGATTAAAAACACAGCATAAATTGTTTTGTTCATTTTTGTTTTGTTGGTCAAAGTCTTTTATATAACACTCCTGAGTTAAAATGTTGCTGATCAATTTGAATTTCTTATTATTTATTGATTATATAAAAAAAATCAGTATCAAATGGTCCAAAATGTTTACAGTTTAAAAAAGGATTGCTTTTTTCAGGCAAATTGATGCACTTTAAGTTGTTTCTGTTACAGACTAAAAAACAATGTTAATAAAGTTATTCTTCCTTGTAAGTTAATCTATATTCTTTTTTTTTTATGCCAATAAGGACACAATGTTAGGCAGCGGTGTACTTATAACAATTTTATAGACACTATTTACAGTCGCGGCGGAGAGT